AGGACCTGAGTAAGGATCTCCGCCTCCATGTAAAAGCTGTGTGAGAGGTGCAGGTCTGTAATCTCAGTGTGCATGTGTGTGTGTGTGCATCAGTCTAGCTGATAATGGCAACTTTCATTGATCCTGTCTTAAAAAAAAATGTGTAGAACAATAGAGGAAGACGTCTGATGTCAATTTCTGGCCTCATATGTGCATACAGTGTGATCATACCTCCACACATGCATACACATGTACACACCATATGGACACACAAAAATATTAGGAGAAGAATCTGTGGTAGGAGGGAACTATCCTTTGTCATAGATAGGATGAAGCTTGGCCAATCCCCAATCAGATCCTCATCACACCCATTGTCTCTGAAGCTATGATGTCATAGCTGTGGTCACCTAGGAGGTAAAGAAGCGAAGGCAGAGAATTCTATGTCTTCCCTCCTGTCCAAATGGCAGAGATTGAACAAGGGGTCAATATGTTCCCAAATGGTGTCCCTTGGCTCTATGTGGTGTTTGTCATACTCCACGTATTTTTCCTTTTTGTCATGTTCTCACCTGTTTTGCTCGAGATAGAACAGCACATCAAGAAATGTAAGTATGATGTGGGGGACTTAGGAGAACGATGGAACTTTAGTGAGAGATTCATGTATGGACCTAGCAGGAGCATCTACTATACTGTGGGAAACAAGAATGTTCTTTATTTTCTGCTCCAAAGTCCCACAGCCCAAGGCTGTGACCCATGGCTCACAGGTCTAGCAAATTGTAATCTCGTGATAGAAAAGCTTAGACGGCTCACATCTGAGCCAGCCTAAGGGACCTGTGGCTTACATACTTGCAGAAGAGGAGGAAGTATCTGTAAGCCCCGATTTGTCTAACTTGGATACCCCAGTACAAAGACATGGGGAGCCCCCGGGACTCTGGACTGTGAGGGAGTCTCTCCAGTGGGCTCTGACCGGGTGCGTTGTATTAGTCTTTCTCAGATTCCCATGTCCTCTGTGTGATGCTTCGCACAAGCGTAAAGACAATATTAAGATGAAGATGAACCATCTGGGAGGGGCAAGTAAGTACTCTCCATCCTTCATCTCTGGGGTCCCATCAGTCTCAGTTTATGTCCTGATTCAGGGAGTTCTATGCTAAATCCTGGCCTTGGTGGAATAGCTTCTGTGTTCTGCATATACCTTCTTCTACCAAGTTTGGTCTAAGGGCTCTGGGGCTTTTCTCTAGATAATCTTTTGTTTCTTTTTTAAAACAGAGGCTTGGTTCTAAACTCTCATTAACTCTCATGCTGATCAAAAAGTTTGTTTTGTCATTTATACTTGCGATGTTTCTCTTCCCATAGCATCCTTGCAAGGACAAAAGGTGACTTGTCTACAGAAAGCAATACACTTCCTTCTCTGATACAGATGAGGAAAGGACTTTATAAAGACACACATTTTTATTCCAGATAGAAAGCCTATGGAATGAAGGTCCATCTTTTCCTGGGTGATGTCTTGGTGACCTGTTGATCAAATTCATGCAAATATCAGTGACCCTTGCTGCTGTACTAGGGATTCATTCCAGAGCTTCATTCAGGCTACACGTATACCTCATTACTGAGTTATATCCACAGTCAGTCACCACAGAGCCTCAAGACTGTGTGTATAATGGGATTTGTTTCTTTCATGAAGGTCTACTTTGTCCTCCTGACAACTTCGTGACTCTTGGGACATCACAGAGAGGGGACACATTAGATTCTAAATTTCTCTCTGACCATCATGTCAGTGGTTCTTGTATATATGCCAGTAGATACTCTGCCCTGGTTTCTCTCATATAAAATTGAAATCTCTGTAAGACATATTATTTTGTTTGGAGATAAGCAAGACAGAATGAAAAACGTGTTTCCATGTGAGCAAATAATTGAATTTGCATTTTTTTGTTTTGAAACTTAAGAGAAGAATTCTACAATTTATTTGAAATTTTCACATTCTCCAACATACCCAAAAATATATTAGGTATAGATAGCCAGAACATCTAGCTCCAATGTGCCATTAAATTAATAAAAGCATAAAATTACAAGGAATATATGCAATGTATTTGGCTTGGTTAAATGAATAATCTCAGAGCTTGCATAAAGCCACTCCCAGTCACTAGTACAAAGACCTCTGTTTCCTTAGATCACTGCCCACCCCCTTCTCTACTAATGTTCTAGAGGCCCTGGCTGCTCTAGAGCTCAAAGTCAGGTGAATATTTCAAAGGAGACAAATAGGCGTCTCTGTCTGAAACTTTGTGTTCCAGCAATAAGTGAGGGATATTTCCTCCTCGTGGCAGGCAAAGAAACCAACTTCTCATCTAGGGCCTTCTGTAAGTGAGCAAAGCGTGATGGAGCTAGCACAGCTATTCTTCCCAAGAGCTCAGAGACTTAGCGAACCTATCTCTCCTGTTCTCCAGCTTTCAAAATATTTGTGAGAATTCTCGATATCCTCAGAGGCTAGGTAATCCTGGGCATAGTGGACTATGCCAGACTTTCCTTAATTTCCAGTAGTGATATTACTGATATGCAGAAGCTAACCTATTATGAGCCCATCTATCATATTTGAAGGTTAGTTCTTTGGATGGTCAGCTCTGATTTATACTAAAATTACATATAACCCTAAGTATGGGGGATCTGAGGAGTTGCTCAAATGTGGACATTTTGGAGACATTATCCAATGAGGCCAGCGTCTCATATAATACTGATTTTTAATGTTATTTCTTGGGTTAGACAGGGTGAGAACTATCCCAGATTTTATTTTTAAAAGCATTTACTTTTATGCATTTGGGTGTTTTGTTTTCATCAAGTCTATGTACTGCATGTATGAAGTGTCCATAGAGGCCAGAAGAGGTGTCTGATCCCAGTGGAACTAGAGTAAAGAAGGGATGTTTGCCAAGTGCTGGGAATGATATCTGTGTCCCCTGCAAAAGCATCCAGTGCCTTTAACCACTGAACCATCCTTCCAGACTCATTTTCTTTATCAGGTCATAAAATCTCTGTGCTAAAAGGACTGTTGCTGCCATGTCAGCTACAAGGTTTTTGACTCTCAGATGAGAAAACTTTGTACAATGTATACAGTAAAGAACGAGGCTCCATGAATCCACTCAGGGACAATTTATAAACACCAGGATCATCTATGTAAATATTTTGGGAGTCAGGAAGGAAATGTAAAATTGCAGAGGGATAATATTCTGATTGTAGTTTTCTCCCTTCCATTTCTGATGTACCATATCTCGAGAAATAATTTCTTGTGGCAAGTATTTACCAAGCCATAGGAGGTCAAAGGTCCCATCCTGATGTAACTTCCCAGTTTGATGTTGTGCAGAAATAGTTAACTTTCATACATTATTTCCACCCTCTACAATAGGCGCTTTCTAAGATGGCCATTCTGTTAAGTCACGGCTATCACTGAGCAACTTACAATAGGTGCTTTCTAAGATGGCTATTCTGTTAAGTCATTGCTATAATTGAGGAACTTTCTTGTTTTTGTTGTTTCTAGGATGTCTTCTGATGTCACCAGAGAGAGGAGTTATGGGGTGGAAAAGAGAGGTGTTAGGAAAAGATCCTTCCCTGTTTGTGAGGGTAGCAAGAGAGCCCAGAGCCTCCGAGATCTATACTCTTGGAACTCTGGTTTAAAATTGACTGAGCTAATAAGGGTCACTTGTGGTATCAAACGTGAACCAAGAGAGGGTTCTGAGACACCCTCTTCCCTATCCTGACAGAATGGCAATAAATATCTTGAGATTCTCAGAATAGTTCTCAGGTATGAGGAAAATTTCAGTGGGTTTTCTGTCCCCTGTCAATCAATTGCTTTTATTTACCACATATTTGATTTAATTCCCTCTTTCCAGGAGAAATCCTAGGTGAATGAATGGCGTCTAGGTATCTGTTCTAGAACCACGTATGGAATCATTCTTCCGGGTGAAAGATCAGCCATGTGATGACTCAGCGAATTCTGGACCCTTGCTAAAGATTCCTTCTCTATTGATAGTCAGTCAGGAACATTACTGGAATGTTCCAAAATGTGTTTTACAGTTCTACTGTTGTCTGATGCCATAATTTCCGAAACCATAGAGTAGAATGTGGTTTCATAGAGCTAGATGCATAAGGAAAGGGATTGCCATAGGCGGTATCTACCAAAGCACCAAATATCAAATTGCTATTAACTATATAAAGTACATGATATAACCAGCTTAAACAAAGAAAAATATTTTGGTTCACCATTTGAGAAGTTCTAATCCATGATAAGTCAGACTTCAGGTTTTTGATGCAATGCATCATACAGAAACACACAATGGAGCAAGATTGATGATATTAGGAGAGGGTAGCAAGAGAGAGGGCCTAGGAGAAAATGGCTAATTGCTGCTAATTGTCAAAGTCAGAGAGATTCTCTTTTATGCCACAGGAGGAAAAAATAAAACAGAAACAGAAATTAGAGGAATGAGCGACCATGTCTGTATTAACTCGAATCTTTCTGTTGTTGCTATTCAAGAGAAAATAGAGTAAATCAAAACCACACCTGCTAGTTGTGTGTTAGTAATGATAAGTAAGAACACTCAGCAATGGTTCACATTTCTGTCACCAAACACACATTTTCATCTTAATAAATTCAAAACTCTTTAAGCAATATTCAAAGTCTGGGAGACCTCCAGGATGAAGATGGTGAGACCCAGAGAGAATCCATTTTCCGGTGTCTATCCCCTGAAGCCAGAAGTCTCTTTGGGAGGGAGATCATTTCCTGTTGGTTGTTTAATTACTACCTTTCCTTATATCCCATAAAGAATTTTCCAGTAATTTTTTTTCCAAGGTGATCTTTGATGTTTTTGTCTGGAATTTTTCTTCCTCCGTTGAATAAGAAACTCCCAGAGCTTTGGGTGCATTTGAGCTCTTAGGCAGTGTCATGGTGGTAGTTATCTTTTTGTGTTTTGAGTTTGCACACCTTTGGAGGAAATACATGCAAAAAAATACAGTTTTCCTAGACAACAAGCCTTGGGAGGCTTGTATGGATAGATAATTATTCATCCCTGGGTCTCCAATGTTCCCTTTAGAGAAGGTTGAGCTGAGAACAATTAAGATTATTATGTGCCTTGGGAAATGGTGCAGAAGCAGAGCCATCTTGTGGCTAGAAATCTCTGGGAAAAGAGACTTGAAGCTTAAGGCAATTTCTAATATAAAAGTTGTCATTAGAAACAAGGACAGTTGGAGTAGGTGAGATGGCTCAGCTGGTCAGAGCAACCAAAGCACTCAGAACCACAAGCCTGACATCCTGGAGCCCATGTAAAAGTAGGTGAAAGCTAACTCCACTAAAATGTCCTTTGGTCTTCACATGCATACGGTGACATGCGTGTGCCTATGCTCACATATGCAGAACACACACACACACACACACACACACACATTGTTCTTACATAATATTTTCTTCATTGGCCCAAGTCCATGTATTAGTTACCTTCCTGTTGCTGTAATAAAACACTGTGACAAAAGTCAAGTTGAGGAAAAGAGTTTATCTTGGTTTATGGTCCCAGAAGGATGAGTTCACACTATGGCAGGAGACAGGAACAAGTGGGAAGCTGAGAAAGCAAACAGGACACAGAGCGACTCTAAAGACTGAAAGCCAACCCCCTGAGATATGCTTCTTCCAGCAAGACCATACCACTCCCCAGCTAGTGCCACAAAGCAGGGAATATTCTCATTTAAATCAAGTCACCCACCAGAATGATTGTGAATGACTCAGTGACTTCATCAGACCCATGATGAGCATCACTAGATCAGTGGCCCAGCCAGGGAAAATTTTTTCTCATACCCAACATCATCATATGTGACTTGACATCAGAAACCAATTTGTACTTGATGTGACCTTCTGGCTATTTACATCTTACGTATGACCATCTTCTCTCTCATTTTTTTTCTTGTCCACTTAGGTTGGTAAGACATGTGAAAAAAATCTCTATGTGAAACCTAAGAGAACATATATAGGCAATTAAAACGAAAGGGTTTCTGAAAAATATGCTTTTAACTACATGTTATGAGAAAGGCTCTTCAAAATGAGGTGTAAGCTCTTCTAATGACCTTTGGCTAAAGGTTCTTATAAATTATACATGTGGCAGAAGTGCCTGAGGAGACACAAGCCATGACTGGGCTAGGAAGAACATTTGTGGTATACACGTGGACAATTATTTATTTGTAGCCTGGGTGAACTGAAGCTAATGCCCTGGGGTAAGGTATTCTTGGTCACATTTTCTTCCACACAACTCTAGCCTATGAAAAGTTAATATGTATTTGATCTGAGGTTGATAAAATAACTAGAATGTTTTGAGTGACTACATATTTAAATTTGAGAACATATTAACTCAAAGAAAAAAATACCATTGCCTAACTTTAAAAAAATATGGCGGTTTTATTTTTAGACAACCATCATGTTTCATCTAATGGCATTATGGAATAAGAGAGAAGGTATTGTAATGGGGGGGGTTTAAGTGAACAACCTCAAAATTCACATGAAGTTGCAGGAAGTCCCAGTCACTTGCACAAAGGTCTCTCCACTGGCTCAGCGATTCTCTACTTCCTCCCCTTAATGTTCTTAAGGTCCATTTTTTGATCCTAGAACCCAAAGTCAGATGTGTAGAGGATGGCATCAGAAGATCAAGTGAGCACCTCTGTCCCAACCTCCTCTTCAGGCAATGAACAAAGGGCATGTCTGTCATGAAGTCTAAGGAAGCAGTCTTATATCTATGACTGGGCTGGATGGTTTTATGTCAATTTGACATGAGCTAAAGTCATCAGAGAGGAGGGAACTTCAATGTCCTATAGGACATTTTCTTAATTAGTGATGGATGGGGGAGGGTCTAGTCCATTGTGGGTGGGGCTATTCCTGGGCAGGTGGTCCTGGGGTCTATAAAAAATCAGGCTGAACCAGCTATGGGAAGCAAGTCAGTAAGCAGCACCCCTCCATGACCTCTGCATCAGCTCCCACCTCCAGGTTCCTGTTCTGCTTGGGTTCCTGTCCTGACTTCCTTTGATGATGTCGTGGAAGCCTAAGACAAGTAAAAGCTTATTTTTATTTCCTTTCCTCTCCAAGTTGCTTTGGTCATGCTGTTGGGTTACAGCAACAGTAACTCAAACCAAGGCAATTACTTTCTGTAAATGAGAGAGAAAGGTGTAATGGGTCTGGTTGTTTTTGTCAAGAGTTCAGAAACTGAATGGGTCTTTCCCCTTTTTGAAGGCTGACTCTACCTGTGGTGACATTTGGAGAATCAATTGTAGACACTAAAGTATTTGCGTTTTTGTGGTGTGTTGTACTTAATCATCACTGTCTTTATTCTTAAGATTTATTTATATTGTGCACCATGTTGGAGGAAGTGTCATGGGGGTAGGCTTTGAGGAGGTTTCAAATGCTCAAGCCAGACCTAGTGGCTCACTGTCTCTTCCTGCTGCCTGCCAATGCAGATGTAGAACTCTCAGCTCCTCCAGCACCATGTTTGCCTGTGCATTGCTATGCTTCCCACCATGATGTTAATGGACTAAATCTGTAAGCCAGCCCCAGTGAAAGAGTTGCTATGGTCATGGTGTCTCTTTGTAGTGATAGAAACCTTAACTATGACAGAACTAGATTCTGGTCTTTTGGGAGAGCAGCACGTGCTCTAAACTGGATCCATCTTTCTTCAAGCTCTGTCTTTAATAATTCAGAATCTCCTTCTCCTCTGAGGCTGAGCCTTACTGCGTGAACCAGGATGACCTTAAACTATAGAGATCTGTCTGCCTGCCGAGTTCTGGGATTAAATGCATGTATCATCCACTGCTAGAATGTATTTTTTTTAAAGAAAAAAAAAAACAAATAGAATGAATTATATATTAGATGCGAGGGAAATATATTCCCCGATTTTTTTCATTCTTTTTCTTCTCCTACCCTCTAGTAAAAATACAAAGTTAAGGACAACAGAAAAAAAGAAGCTCTATCTTTTTTTTTTTTTTTTAATAAAAAAAATTGTATTTACTTAGAAGCATTCAGAATGTCAACAAAACAGCCGCAATTTTTTTTTTTTTTTGCAATTACAGAGTGGTATTCAGTTAACAGAACAACAATTATCTTCGTATAAGCTGCATCAGAGACAACTGAAGATGGAAAAAAAAACCCAAAAATAAAACCAAAAGAAAAGAAAAACAAAAACCAAACTACTGTCCCCATATATAACTAATTTGTGCTGTGCACCAACAAGAACCTGCTTTAAATTTCCATGCCAATTTACAACCCCCAGACTGTACCAGGCAAGGTTAGTGGCTATTGAAAATACCACCAGGACAGGGCTATCTAAAGACACATTCGGTAGTGTGTTAACTATACAAAAAAAGACACTGTACAGTTTAAAAACAAATCTTACACAGCCTTACATTTCAATTTTTTTCTTTAAAAGGAGTGAGTTGTGTACAGGGGGGTTAAATGCTTTATAGACAAGAAAAAAACTGCGCTAGAACCAACTTATTCATCATCATCATCTTCTTCTTCATCTTCATCTTCCTCTTCTTCCTCCTCTTCCTCATCCTCTTCATCTTCCTCATCATCTTCCTCTTCCTTCTTTTTCTTGCTCTTTTCAGCCTTGACTACCCCCTTTTTTGCTGCATCAGGTTTTCCTTTAGCTCTGTAGGCAGCAATATCCTTCTCATACTTCTCCTTCAGCTTGGCAGCCTTCTTCTCGTAGGGCTGCTTGTCATCCGCTGCAGTGTTGTTCCACATCTCTCCTAGCTTCTTTGCAACATCACCAATGGATAAGCCAGGATGTTCGCCTTTGATTTTTGGGCGGTACTCAGAACAGAACAAGAAGAAGGCCGAAGGAGGCCTCTTGGGTGCATTGGGGTCCTTGAACTTCTTTTTGGTCTCCCCTTTGGGAGGGATGTAGGTTTTCATTTCTCTTTCATAACGAGCCTTGTCAGCCTTTGCCATATCTTCAAATTTCCCCTTTTCTTTAGCAGACATAGTCTTCCACCTCTCTGAGCACTTCTTGGAGAACTCTGAGAAGTTGACAGAAGCATCTGGGTGCTTCTTCTTGTGCTCCTCCCGGCAGGTTTGCACAAAGAATGCATATGAGGACATTTTGCCTCTCGGCTTCTTAGGATCTCCTTTGCCCATGTTTAGTTGATTTTCCTCCGCGAGGCACAGAGTCGCCCAGTGCCCGTCCGGCTCTCGCTTGCCCCGGTGCTGTCTCTATGGAGCTCAATGTACTGCAACGGCTGTCAGAAGCTCTATCTTTTAAGTTATCAAATTTTACAATTCTCTTTTTTCTCTTCAGTAAGATGGGAGTGATTCTGCTGGGGGAATCCTTATTGCTGGATATTAGGTTACCATTCTGATTTGGGGGATAGGCTACCAAGGCTGTGATTATCCACACGGAAACTTTGAGACATCAGAAATGGGTCTCACAGAAAGACTTAGCCTACATTTGTCAGTAACTGACATGGGACTTTATTTGACTTCCTCTCTGTTTCTGGTAAAATCATCCTATTTAAATATTTTGAAGTGAAGTTCTCCATTTTCTGTCTTCATGTATTGTGCAGAGCTCAGTAGCTACCATATTTGGCAGTAATCTCATGTGATGTCGGCCAGATAGCACAACGCCTGTGATGTGGCTTGATTCTAATATAAACATTTTGTGCTTTTCACCGATGTTTGGGAATGTTTGCAACTGGAGTCCTTTGAAACTGTTTGTTTGTTTTTCTGTCATTTTGCTTCACTTGCAGTTGAGCCATATGTCCCTGTGTTTCAGGATGTCTTCTTCAGGCCCCCGGGAAAGAAGCTCCAAGGAGAGAATCAGCTGGTGGGAGAGAAGACAGCTCAGTTCTGGTGAAAATAGTAGGAGACAGGACCCAGGAAGTCTGCCCAATGACACCAGTTTGAGGTGACCACATCTGTGAGGTGTCTTGACGTCCCTGTCACAGAAAAATGCTTCTAGCATCCTCATTTGTACTTAAGAGAATGTGATAATAAAGATTTTGAGCATCTTAGAAATTATCAGTTCTTTGTTGAACTTCTATCCTTTTTTTTCTTCATCCCATGAAATCAAACCCCTAATAACACTCTTGCTGCAGAACATAAAGTCTTATGGAGTGACCTGTTTTGTTTTCCCCCTCAAACAATACTTAGTTTTAAGAACATACCTTTTAAAAAGAAGAGGTACGGTCAACTATACGCTGTGTTTTTTAGTTTTTCCTGGAAGCAAGTTGCAGCTTTGCAGCTGTTAATCAATGAAGGTCTAGCAGAAATGGTTACACTAAATTATGTCACCAGTGGATAGAAGAAAAGCTTTCTTTGTCCTTGGGCTGGAAATGGCTCCAAATGAGATCAACTTAGAAGATCTGCTTGGGAGAAGTGAGGGAAAGACTTTTCTACCCAGGATTCTTAGAATGTCTTGTAGAGCAAAGGCCATAAACTTAACTGCCCCACCCCTATATGGTCCTCTGTAAGTGATTTGTACTTTCTCTCCCCAACACTTTTTAAAAATAATCTAATAGGTAACCCTAAACTGCTGAACAAGAGGTTCAGAAAAAAGTCTTAGCAACAAAATCTTGTACTGTTCACATTGAGGGAGAGAGAGAGAGAGAGAGAGAGAGAGAGAGAGAGAGAGAGAGAGAATGTGTGTTTGGGTGTGGAGGCAGGAGTGGCTGTAGAGAGTTCAGACAACAACCTCAAGTGTCAGTTCTTACCTTCTACTTTTAGTTTAAAATATATAAAATTGTGCGTGTGCATGTGCGTGCATGCATGCGTGCATGTGTGTGTGCACCGGCTTACCACCGATATGAGCATCACATACGTGCAGTTATCCAGACAGGCCAGAAGAGGGCATAAGATCTCCTGGAGTTGGAGTTACAGTTGGTTGTGAGTCACTTAATACCAGCTCTGGGAACAGAACCTCAATTTCCAAAAAAAAATGCTATTGATAGTTGAGTCATCTCCCAAGTGCCCACCATGTTTTAAGACAGGGTGGTTTCCTGTTCACAGCTGCCTATACTCAGCTAGTTGGCCAATGAACTTCCAAGGATTTTCATGTCTCCGTCTCTCTTCTTGTGGTAGGAACACTGGACTTCTGTACATGCTATCCCATGTCTGGACTATGGTGGGTTCTGGTGATCCAAATGGCAAGTGCTTTACTCACTGAGCCATATCCCCAGCCCTACTTCTCTGTAAACAGTAGTCTAATTTGGTAGTGCTAGACAGCAGGTCCCTTATCTCATCTGTTTTAGTGAGGGTTCTCTAGATGAACAGAATAGTATGAATATATTTGGCTTTATTAGAAGGACTTACAGGCTACGGTCCAGCCAGTCTGACATTGGCTGTCTACCAACAGAAGGTCCAAGAATCCAGCAGTTTAGTGTATGAGGCTGGACATCTCAATTGGTCATCAGTATATGTCAAAATCTCAAAGAAGTAGGCTCTAATGCTAGTAAAGAAATGGACTTGCTATCAATATTGAGAACAAACAGGCAAGGGGAGCAAGCTTCCTTCTTCCATGTCCTTTATGTAGGCTGCACAGAAGATGTGGCCCAGATTAGAAGTGGGTCTTCCAGAACACAAAAGATCTGGATTAAAGGTGTGTTTTTCCATGTCAAAGATACAGATTAGAAGTGAATCTTCTGGCTTCAAATGATTTGTGTAAACAAAAATCCCTCACAAGTGTGCCCAGTTCTATTAGGGTTTTAGATGATTCCAGAGACAGTCAAGCAGACCACCAAGAACAGCCATCACGGCATCTGGATTTTCTGCTCCTCCTTTTGCCAATTGTGTGTATCTGTTCCAGAGAACAACAAAGAACATGACTGTGTTGGGAAGTAGCCACATCTTGATTGTTTGCTGGTGACAGCAATCATGTGCTTACACTTAGCTGTAAGGAATGCAAGGGATGTAGAGGATGTAGATGACTAAAAAGATGGCTCCTTGCAAGAATAGGATAGACTATTAATAAGGTAAAATAATCTTATCAATAAGGAAGGGAGAACATCTACGTGTACAACACTGGATTTCCTAGGCTGTAGGTCTGTCACATCTTGCCCATTTGTGGTCATCCTTGGTTTAGGTTGTAATGTGGTATTTAGTGTATTTTGCTAATGAGTCAAACTGTCTGCATTTCAGACTCTGTTCTTTGTTGATAAGCCTGGAGACCGCCAAATTATTTTTCTGAGCCGTGTATTTCAGTTACTAAAAGTGAGAATTCTAACTCTGCCTTCTTCATAGAGTTACTGACTTTTATGTAAAGTGGAGTCTACAAAGAACTTGGGAACAGGATTGCAGTAGTTTGGATGGAAGACTGAGATTTGGATATCTGCTCCCCGGTGGGTGGCACTGTTTAGTGAGTTTAAGAGCTGTGGCCCTGATGGAAGTAGTTATTGGGGGTATAATGGGAGCAGGCTTAGGGAATTGAAAGTCTTTCACCAATCCTCGTTCATTCTCTCTGCTTCCTGCTGTGGTTGAGGATTTGAACTCTTGGCTTCCCATTCTGGGCACTGTGCCTGCCCACTGCAATCCTCCCTGCCATGATGGACTCCATAGCACAAAGTTTAATTAAAACTTTCTATGGCAACAGAAACATATTGAATACAAGGACTTTCCATATAATAGAGTTTGGTACTCAGGTTAGAGAAAAGCTTGTGGACCCTCACAAAATGATATAGTCTAGGTCCTTGTTATTGCTTTCTTGTTTTCAAGTAAAATTATATCTTTAGACTTGGCATTTTGAGTCAAAATGTTAAGATTTTAAAGCAATTAATAGCGCAGAGTGTTCCCACATATCTTTCATGTAACTACCTCCAATTTTAACATTTTACATACTCATGCTGTTTCTCTAAAGCAGGTAACACAGGTTTAACATTATCCCAAGCTATAGATATGTTCTTTTCACTTGAAGAATCCATTTATTACCTCGGCTTTCCCTGCATTCTTTATCCATTCTCAGTCTATACAACTTTTTCTAGGGCTATAGATTTGTGTCTTGTACGTTTTGATGAAAAAAAACCACCCTGATATTTGCAGGTTGAATACCAGTTGCCTATGAATTATAAATCCCAAGAACAAATTGTTCTGTCAGAAACAGTGACATATTTGCTCATCTTCGTCATGTTACTAACTAGAGCCCTCAGTTCACCCTTACATAAAGATGCTGTGTTCTGTACTACCAGTGGCATATTGCAGGAGTAACTCGAATGTAATGGATGTTTCTTCAAATTAGCAAGTTTCAAGATATTTCTCCCTAGATATTTATGTTTTTATGTCTTCAATCTTAAAACATTCATGGGCAATGGAAACTCTTAGATGCTTACTGAGATTTGAAAGGCTTTACTGTGAAATAATTTGTAATTTTTCATTACAACAGTTATGTTTGAAAGATGAAGTTGAGGTATTCTGGCAAATTTATAAGGCTGGGTAAAAAAAAATATCAGAAACCTTGGTAATTGGATATGGCTTACACAGTAAGAGTCAGAGGAGGTGGGAGAATGAAAACACCCAGAACTTCCACATTCTCCGAGTCTTGCAGTTTCACGGACGTATATGAGTCACATAGGGAGGGGGAGACACTAACTCATAAGTGTGTTGTTAGCAACTGGCATAGGACACCTGAGCTTCTCTATGGATATGTGTTAAATAAATATTCCATAACAAATTGAAGTAATTAAAATGAAACGCTAAGCTGGGGAGAGGGGCCACACTTTTGAAGCAGTTGGGCTTTTGCTGGATTTCTTCAGAGAAAACATCTCTTCACTGGGGAACGATAGGACCCCACCTCCAGCTGCTCCTATACAGGACGCTGTCAGAGATTCCGATGTAGCTCATCCGTAACCTCTTTTGCCTTTGCTCCTCGCATTCTTTGATGGTCTTAAAACTGCAGATCCCAGGGAAGAACGCTGCTGTATTTTCCTTCTCTCTGTACAGCAGAGGCTGAGTTCTAGTTTGCCTCTCTGTGATTGTGATAAACATAACCAGGAAAAGCTAACTGGGGAGGAAAGGACTTACTTCATGTTACAACTCTCAGGTCACAAACTGTCATTGAGGGAAATCAGAAAATGATCTGGAGGCAGAGATCTGGAAGCAAGAACTGAAGCAGAGGCCACGGAGAAAAGCTACTTACTGGCTTTCTCAGCTTGCTTTCTTTTACAACCCGTGATCTCAGATCCAGGTAACCGGTAGCTCTGATATCAGAGCTGTGAAACCTCTTTCTGGTTGACGTCTTTTTCGTAGACGCGCTCCACCTTTGGCCAACACCAGGGGTCCAACCTTTTCCATCTTCCAATAGGAGACCCCTGTGGAAATTTCAATTTCTTTAGACCCATTGTTTCAATAGTCTGGGAGTCAAAAAGTGGGGGAGCACACAAGTCTCTTTGGACTATCTTCATTTCTGCCAGAAAGATCATGTTGGGGAAAGAAAAGGGTTGAGGCCCTGGTGCCAACCAGGAGACTTTATCACTATTCTGATAGTTCTTTCAGATGAATTCACAAGAGACAATGGAGTCCAGAAGATGATAATGGGTGGAACCACACCTTGACCAGATTTTATGTCTGTTTGGGGCAGTTTAACTTTTTGGAGGTATTTTGTTCTTCTATCTTTGGTCCACACTCCTTCATACCCAGTTTTACTGCATCATCTGCCATCACCTCCCTTTGTCTATACTCATCTACCCAGGAAGAGATACGTGGCAGGTTTGATGCGCTGTTTGACCATAGAGGAATGAACAATATATTCTTGCCCAGCTCTGCCAAGAAGTTGTGGCTGATTTAACAAAGCAAAGCAATCCCTGGCATTGGTTGTGGAATAAATGCTGCCTCTTGGGTTTCTGATGGTTTGCCAAGGCTATCCACTTTTCTCCAGTCTCATTGCCAACTCCTCTTCTTCGGCCTGTCTTTGTAGACTACATCCAGTGGACCCTACACTACATGTGTGAGAGAGAAGGGTCCGTGGAGATGGGCAGAGGCAGCATGCAAGCAAAGGGAATGAGAACCCATCCTAAGAGTAACTTGGAGAC